CCATAGAAGGAGCAGCAACCTACAGCGAGTTGTCCGGAAGGGGGAGGTGGGACTGCCTAGACTTCTTAAGCGGATATAGGCAGAAATAGGAAAGTGGCAGGGTTCTGGGTATATATACAGATGTAGGACCAAGGATGATCTGGGAATAGTCACGCATTCCTTCGTAATGTTTTTTCCTATTTCTGCCTATATCCGCTTAAGAAGTCTAGGCAGTCCCACCTCCCCCTTCCGGACAACTCGCTGTAGGTTGCTGCTCCTTCTATGGTGACTGTTGCGGTTTGTGCGTGTGTAAGACCTTTATTGCTTGTGTAATTCAGTGACCTGAAGAAGGGCTTAGGCCCGAAACGTCGTCAATAAATATTTTTGGAAGAAAAGAAGAGCTCTACAAATCTCAATACAATGAAGCTCAGGGAGCCATCTTTACTACTCTTTTTTCTGTTTTTAGCGTAAGCCACGCCGCAGCACACCAAATTTTCAAGCCATCATCGATGGTGAGCAACACTCCCTTTTTTGCTCGTCTGCGTCCTCTCAAACGGATGGTATTCTATTGGTTTGACTAACTTCGATAAGGCTTCTTCCTCCTCGAGTCCCAACTGCATTGATGCCTTTGCTTGTAGCTTTAGAAGGCCTTGTGAGAAATTTTTCGATTGATGGTTTCTTCCAGTTGAGCCTCTTCCCCGCATTCTGGTTAGTGGCTTCGGAATTTCAGCATGTATTCGTATGTCTGGGGAATACCCCCCCCCCCAACACAGACTACCAAACAGCTTTGTTAGGGGAATTCCAAAGTATATAGGATAGGCACACAAATCCCCGTGTTCCGCAGCGGAAGATGGTGCTCTCCAGCTCGGGAGGGGGGGGGGGGAAGGCGTTTTACTCTTTCTCTGTTCCTTTCGGTATTTCATGTTTAACTAAACCGTTATCACCGAAAAAGAAACTTGTGAACTTGTGAAGCGCCGAAATGGTACGCAGTTCAATCTCTTGCTTCCAGGTCATTGACAATGGATGGCTTGCGACAGACTTCGCTGATGTCATTTTGTGCCCCTTACACAAGCGAAGGATAGGCGGAGAAAAAAATGGGGCTCAAATGTGGCCACATTTGACCGGATCCTTCATTTTCGCAGCGCTTAGCCGTCACCGGCCGTCGTTAAAGATACGATGGAGAAGGAGCACAACAACGATTGAAGCACAACAGTAGGCCTGGCTTTACTCACATGACCAGCGTGAACTATCCTCTTGCAGGGCTTACAATATTTAATATCTGGTTGGACATCTACCCCACCCTCCGAGGATAATCCACGTTTGTCATATGGGCGGAGCTGGAATCACCATTGTGCTTCCCATCGTTGCTGCGCTCCTCCTTTCCAAGACGGTGACGAAGAGCGGTGCGCCTAATGGAAGATTGCGGCATTGGAGCCGGTTGCGCTCATACAACCATTGTGAAATGAGCTTTTAATGAACTTGAACATCTCTTTTTCTTTGTTGTTTGCGGCCTATTTATGAATTTTTCAGCTCGGTCTTGGTACGGTATTACTACGAGTTCGAGAGCACTATTGTTGGGCTTTGGTTTTGGCCTTGCTATGTTTTTATGCTGTTGCAATTGCAAGCGCATACAAAGCCTCCGAGGATCACTTTACCGTGGAGGTAGGAAGCTATTTTAGATATCAGGAAGCCTTTCACTCGAAACTAACTACTCGGTACATTTCCTGTGTGGGTCATTACTATCGGCAGCGCTGCCTGCGCCAACTGCAGTTTTAACTCCGCAGTGAAATGCAGTTCAAGAAATGCGAAATCGTGCGATGCACACAATTGTAGCCGCGGCTGAGCGGCCTCCCATGGAACTCTGACATTATGACCTACACGTATTTCAAAGCTGAGCAAAATTATATTTCTGGGAGTAATGATTTTTTTCAACCACTTAACTTGATGTCGACTGCGGTGAGTATCCAACATAACCGTGAATTTTTCAGGTTCTCAAGAATGGCTGGTGGGCAGTACTGGCAGCGATGTCAATCACGACACTTAGTGGTTTCATACTGAAAAATGCTATGCACAAATATCCTCCTATAGCTGCTTTTCAACCGTTGATCAATGGTTAGTAAAACGATTTCCATTGCTGTACTGGGAATATGATGCTCAAAGGCAGTTGGCACGATGGTTTCCTACTTAGCCTAAAATGCTAGTAGGGCGCTGTATAGTGGGGAAATGGCGAAAGAACGGAGTGAAACGGTCAAAATCCTGCGAAGAAAAAGCCTCCGTTCTCAGTGACTTGTAAATCGATTTCGGACGAGTTTCCCGTAGGCCAATCACCGCTACCGAAGATACGGCTGCATATGTGTACCCATGTATGCATGCAGCATCACGGCCGCTTCATACCAATCCCTTCGCTTCATAATTTGCTTAGCAAATGAATGAATACGAGCGTCAGGAACGGTCGTCCATTTGTGGGCGGGCGGGCGTGGCGGGCGTGGGACGTAAAGTTGTGGCTTGATAGGGCCCTT